TCCATAACTGAGGCCGTAAGGTATGCTTCCCCCGAATGCTTGCGGGGACGAAAGTCCCTTTAAATTTTTTGTTTTGAACGACACTGTTTCTTTATTCTCAATGCATGTTTACTTTAAGCAACACACATATATTAAATGTAGGCCCTTTATCAGGACAATCCCAGTTGGGACGACAGAGAAAATTTAAAGGGATTTTCGTCCCCTAACCCTTCGGGGGAAGCATAACTTACGGCCCCAGGTGAGCGCGTGTCCATTTTTGCGGACAAACGCATGAATTTTTCGCCTTGCCTTTTCTGCTCGACAGTGGTATTCGAACGGGTACTATAATACATTCCAAACAAAAACCCCAATAAAAAGAAACGAGTTGAGTTGAACAATAAAAAACACATAATTAATGAGATAAACAACGCATACGCTATTTTGATTGCGCTTACTTTGTTAAGCGTACATATCTTCGGGTGCCAAAATCAATTTCAAGGGTACATCAGGGTATTGAAGAACTAAGGTCGTAATCGTCCATCCATGTTTACAGAAATCATTGCATAAATGCAGCACAGATTCAAGTGTTTCCAAATTCGAAAAGAAATCGAGTACATGGCTCATTCCAAAAAGTGAATCCATGTCTAGCACTTGCTTCCTTTTTCTCTTCCACAGCTTAGACATGTAAATTCAATCCACGAATGACAGTAACTGAGTTGCACGTTACTTTGGAGAGAAACACCACCTTCCTCATTTTCAATAGAGAGACTTCCTAAGGCCGACTATCACTCCTACTCCAACTACCGGCTCAGGCAGCATAATGATGCATCTTCTTGGGAAGGAAGAGAAATCCGCAATTCGACTGAACATGCGCTCATCACGAGAATTCGAGAAATAGATAAATAATTGATTACTTAAATAAATAAGTAAATAAACAAACAGATTAGAGGTTCAAAGAAGCCGTCAAAAAATTTAATATATTGAACTTAACCGCACTTGCCCTGATTGAACAGGGTCAGCCAACTCAAATCTTGTCCTTTTTGACTCCAAATCTCCGATTCCCCAAAACGCTGAGTACAAAGCGATCTAACGTGCTTCGTAATAGAGAAGTGGAAAATAAGAAATTGCTAATCTTCCGATCATCAGCTCCCCACCTCCCTCCCCCCACTTCTTTGCAGGGAGCATTTTTGATGAAAGGCCCTTTGCAGCAATGAAGCTGTTCAATTGTTGCTGGCAGACATCGTTGTAAACTTAGCAGCGCTGTTGCTGAGAACATAGTAAAATTCATTTGCCCTGAACAGTTGCTGTGCAGCCTACCGCGCTAACGTACATGAAGGCTTGAACAAGCGACTTCAAGCAGATTATGTCGAAAGGCTGACATGGCGCAGCGGTCAGAGGCGCCGCATAGAACCTGTAGAATAATATCCTCTCATACCAATCGAGCCTTTTGTAATAGCACTCGGAGCGCATTAGTTACGCCAAACAAGTGCTGGAAATGAAAGCATGGACTTAAAGGCAGTGATCACGATGGCTGGAAGACGATGCGAAATGGGCGAAAGGGCGTAAAAAGGCCATTTCATACATTCCCGCCCTCCCCCTTCCCAGCGCGCTAAAAGGTCTGGTCCAACAGTGACATTTAATGACGTCATCAAAACCGCACCGCCCTTCAGCCATCGTGATCACGCCTTTAAGCGCCATATACACCTCCCCCACTCTCCCCTCTCCTCCCAGCTCAATGCGCTTCCCGAAATATAGGTATAGAACTGCCACTCAGATAAGTATTCGAACCCTCTGTAAATCTGGGAATCACTTCGTCTTCCGTCTTCTATGTAATATTAACAGCACAACAGCTTAGGCAGTAGTGTTATCCTGATATTATAAATCGATTCCAGCACATTAACAAAAGTGACTTGCTAGGATTATCGACCTTAGATGGCCTAGTTTTGTTCCACCCATGAACAGTGACTAATGGTAAGTAAACTGGACCGGTTACAAGTCCCGGTTACCGGTACTTCTGGATATTCGACCAGCGACCGCAGTCCTACTAACCTCCCTCCTAATCCAGCGGCGACCTGCCCGAAAGATGTCATAATTTCTTTGCAATCAATCAGATTCTCCAAGTAGAGATGTGATATGATATTTGATTTTATCGATTAGTTTAGCTGGTGTGCTGTCATGTCAATATATGGAAAAAATATGAAATTCTGTCAGGAATTAATCAGATCTGTCCATTCAGAGCGACAAACTAATTAGGGCCGGCGTCCAGTGGCATACATACGTTAGAGATACAAGAACTTTGGAACCATTTTAACTCACCGAGTAGTTATGCAAATTCGTGCTAGCCATAAGGCAAGGTTAAATATCAACTCCCAAAATACAGGGTTCTAAAAAAGACAAAATTGTCCAAAAGGAGAAAAAGTTCAAGCGATCAGTCGCGACCGGATGCGCCACGCATATGACTTCCATTCACGACCTGTGAGATTTGTTTGTTGGATGTTTTGCGGGAATAGCCGATGACCATGAAAATGTTTATGTCCCTACACGAAACCGGTACCTGTAGGACCAGGAGGGATATAAGGCTGAACATGTTCCACCAGCAGAGCATGCAAATGTGCGGTACCTCAATCTTCCCACCCCCACCCCCCCCCTCCTCGTCCACTTTCTCGCCTGCAACTGAGTGCTGGAATTTAATTTCAATCCAGGATGAGCTTGAATACCTAGGGACTGAGTCACTCTCTGATTTACTTATGGATGTTGATCGGGTGTGGTAAAATGGCAAGATGCGGCATCACCAGTTGTTGGGTGGTGGGATCAAATACTGCTCTACCAAGATCTTTCACCTCTCAGAACGGTCAATTGGTGCTAGATTCAATCGGGAGGAATAAAAGGTAATTTGATTAAAACCTGGTTTCCGGTCATCGTGATACAGTTGGAGCGCATTCAGTACCCTCAACGATTCCGAAAGAAAGTTTTCTGCGTGGCGCATTCCAAAAAGATTGATTAAAGTGCAACCTTGATGAAAAATTCATGTGACCGTTGGCCACCAAGCCATCTCCGTTCGCAGTTCATGGAATGGAACCCACCCTAGTTGGACAGTTGTTCCAACCTTTTAGAGTCAAGTGGCCTTACCAGGGCGGTCTGAGACGACGAGAACAACGAATAAGACACTATGGGCCGGTGCGAGCTGGTCCCAATGACATCCATATACGCAATACTTTTCTGAATACACATCGAGTGCATGGCGCATCCAGAAACATGCTATGACTTCTTCTGTCTCGTATGTAATAAACGAATAATCGGATATAGCGAAATATGCGAATAAATAATCATTCTGTTCAAATAGGTCTTTATACGATGTTTTCAATGAACCTATAGTTTATCTTTTCCAATATTTACAATGGCTTTTCAGGCCGATCACCGCCACCACCACCAGCCGTCCCTTCACGGCCGCCAGTTCATCCTGGAATGGCAGGTCCCGGGGGACCTAGAACTGGTGGTCCATCACGACATGATGTTCATCCCGCTATGCGGATGGCCCAGCAACAGGTGAGCATTGATTGGCAAACCACAGAAATTCGCGGTCATCTCAGTAGTCCTTACCTTCTTCTATCAAATTCATCGGAATAATCTTTCTACTCTATCTTATCTCCTAGCTTTTCAATTGTAAAACGTGCAAATGCAGGTCGTCGACGCGAGCGGTCGCGTTGAAGTCTCTAGGACTTACGTGCCAAACTTTTCTGCCATTTCTGCAAGATTTTCTGCAACATTCTGCCAATCTTTCTGCAACATGCCATTCCGCTACTACTTTTTAATAGCCTTATTTCGATGGGCAAAGAAAGTCAATTGCAGTCTCGGCGCGATCCGCGAGTCGCACGTTCCGATAGTGTAGCGTAACTAATATTTTGCTCTGCTTCTCCAAAAAATGTCACGAATTCCTTGTTGAGTGATTTCTTTCAGGCAGCCGAGACGCAATCCAGTGGACGTGGATCGTTCACATGGATGTTGCCTCTTTATACCGTAGGAGTGGTGATATTCCTTCTGTATACCCTGTTTAAGGTAGGTATTTGAGAGTGTTCGCGCTTCCATGAATTAGTTTCAAAAAGAACTTTTCAGACAAAAGGCAAGAAGAAAAGACGATACTCGCTATGGTTCCTTCAGACGAGAGCTCAGATGACGACGACGTGTACAACAGCCGACTCAAAAAGAAAATCGGTCCGTTACAGTTTCCTGAAAGAGGTAGATCCAATAGGTATAAGATCTGGATTTCTGAGTTTGGCGGTTGAGCGCGCGCCACCACCGCCTGTGACAGTGGGCACACTAGAAGAGCATAGTCTCAGAATGTGTGTGTTTCTGGCTACGGCAGCGAGAAGTGTACGAATACGAAATGTGGATAGAATTTTCAGCAATCACAATTGGTAAAAGTACCACTACTAGTGCTGCTACTCATAAAAGTGAATAAGTCTTGATCGAAGGGAATTTTTAACCAAATTTTCAACTTTTTTAGAGGAGAAGGCACGATTTTGGGGCTTTTTCTCTCGGATATCTAAAAATCTTCACTTTTTCGTTCCCCAGCTTTAAGGTTTCCAGAAATATTATCACTGCGAGTTGTCGGATAGCTGATCGTTCCGACGATTGAATAAAGCTCATTCCAGGTAAACGAAAACTACGCAGTCTCCAAGAACGACTGCAACAAACCGAAGAAGCGATGAGTAAAATTCTTGAGCAACTGGAAGCTGTACAAGCAGCTGGAGCCCTTGCTGAGGGTGAACTGGTGAGGATCATTGGTTCATTCATTCTAATCATGAGCCTGATGTGGTCGACATCAATAGCCTTCTTTTGGGATGCGCCACGACTTTGGGTTCCATCAAAATTTAGAAAAATTTTGATGTTGATATTGATTAGTACAATGATTTGTGGGGCAAGCGATGCCAAATACAAGGTCTTTGCTTCCCTCAAACAATTACGCTGAAATGACCACCGCGGGGTTGTGAAAAGTTGGGGCGCATTCATAGCCGATCGTCCGATCGACGGTCGTAACGGTCGCAAAGCGTCGATTACGTATCGACCGTTCAAGCCCAATGATCGATACGCACCCAATGCTATGCGATCGTTACGATCGTCACGATCGGACGACCGACCATGAACGCGCTCTTAGGTAGGCCTAGATGCGACTTGTACCTACTAGAGTGCATACATTGTTCTCCTTTACCTGCCCATTCATCCGTTAAAGGAGGATTATACGATGAAAAGGTAGCTCTTTAGAGGTAAGGGTAAAAGTGGTCAGTGTTGCAAGGATGAAGAAAAAGAAAAGGCTCAGAACCTGAGAAAGGTTCTCCTCGCTCTCTCCTCGCTGGTTTATTTCCGCAATGATGCCACCCTCCTCGGTGCTGCCCTCTTCAACTGAACACTCTCTATGCTAGACGGCTAAAGAGTCAGACAGCTGGGAGGGAGGCGCACCACGCCAATAGCGGGGGGAGGGCCATAGACTGCCGGAGCATACACTTCGCTGCGAACTGCGTCGTCGTCAAAACGCACCCCCAGGGGGGTCCCTGTATACGCCACTTAGTTGGTATGTTTCCCTACTTTGACCCGTCGACTTTTCGTGAATCCATCAGCCTGGTGAACTGCCCCGTTAAATTCTTTAGGCTGCATTAACAGAAAACACATCTCTAGCCAAATAAAGCGAGTCGTGTCAATCGAAAGTAAAAGATGGGGAGAAACCAGAAGCTGCAGTCGAAGTGAACTCGAAAAATGAGCAATACATCAACGACTTAGAAAAAGCCTTGAGAGACTTCAAGGTGAGTCCACTGGCAGGATCCTGTAAATTCGGTCTGTCCATTGGAAAAAAAAAACATTTCGCTGCCCGATTTTTCGGACGCCTAACGAAATGAGAAAACCTTCGTCATCAGAGGGTTCACATCATCAGGAGCGAAAAGAAACGAAACGAGCATGACCCATGAAACTCATCGCAATCGGACGAAGATGAGGATGAGGAAGAGGAGGAGGAGGAGGAGCAGCCGGCTAAGTCATCGAGTAAGAAGGAAAAAAGAACGAAGAAGTCTGAAGAGGACGACAGTGGTGCTTCGGAAGAGGAATCACCGAAGGAGAACCAAAGCAAACAAAAAGTTGATCTCGCTGAGGAGGAAACGGCACCCGTCGAGTCTTCCATTGAATCAAAGGAGACGACGAAGTCAGCAAAGCAGCTACGACGACGACCAAAGAAGGACTAGCCGCTTCAACCTCGACCCCAGCAGAGAGGCAATGACAGCGGGGTTTGGTAAGCGCGTCGAATCCTGGTTTCGTCCATAATTTTGTACATAAAAATTTTGTATCTCACTGAATCTCGTCGGAGCAGCTCGCACATGTGGTTTTCTCTTGGCAATGGCAGTTAGTAGTGCCAGCAACAGCAACAGCAGCAGCAGCTCTTCCTACCATCCTAGTCTTCCCGTTCACATTTCAAGTGCCATGCCCAGCATACTTTAGTCTTTGTTTGATTTTGTCACAATTGTGTCACCGTTTTAGCTTGTCACAAATAAAAGATAACAATTGATTATTTCGCTAAAAATTTTGATTGTTTTAGATCGTTTGACATCTCCCCGCGCTCTGAATTTTTCTTTAGGAGCGCTCATTCTGCTAGGAAGATGGGGGGGAAGAGGCAGGACATTCAAGCGGATAATCCATAACAACGTCGCCAGATCCACCCTCACAGACTTCAAAGGCAATAGTCCCAGCAGAAGGTGGGCGTGGTCGGAAACGGCTGCCGATTCCCACTTCGAGCTGTTCAGCCCCTAGTCAAGAACGTAGGAAGTGTGACTGAACAAAAACTCACCTTGGAAAGCCGCTAGGGAGGGAGCTGAAGTGGGCGTGGTCGGAATCGGCCGAGGGGATTGCAGTCGTTTCCGACCACGCCCACCCTGCTGGGACTGTTGCTTTAAGACTAAGCTTTAGAGATTGGAAGGGATTCCGGAAAAACACTTCAGCAGTTTTTTATCCAGCTGGTTTCAAATGCCCTGTTTTGGATGTCCTCCCTTTACTTCCCCCCCCCTTTTTTTAGGGCATGAGGCCGTTTCAAGCAGATTGACCATGGTTATGTTGCACTGAGTTAGACTGGGTGTGTGACATAATGTCTGATTTCTGCCCATATTGTGTCAGTAAGAGGAATACAATTTTACGGAATAAATTAAACATTTATGTATGAACCAGGGTGGGCTAGGCACGCTTCTCCAGAAGTGAGGAAGAAACTGTCACAGTGAACCACGGCGTAACTGTCGCGCGGTAAATTTGCGCCACCACAAATCGGACCTAATGTCCATCACCGATCAGATGGTCAAATCATCATTCAGCAAATAATTCAGAATTTTTCGTCGAGCTTTTGAGAGAAAATGACCCATTATGCTGAAAGTTGCTTCAGTGTGTTTTCTGGGGATCGAGTTGGTCCCGCTGTGTTCCAAGTTCCAGGGGGAAATCAAGTGCCCAGTTCACTCAAACTACGAACGGTACAGACGGTTGCACTGCTAATCTGGAGTTTGCCGTTTTTCTGCAAAACCCATATGTCTTCCACGATCATTAGCGAACTGTTCGTTCCCATTTCCACAAAGTGCACGTTGCCGATGGGAAGAACTTCCGGGATGGGGCGGAAACATGCCAGTACTGATCTAGATGTGTCGTTCACAAAAACAGCAGATTTGGTCTCAAGGCCCAACAAGCCGGATGTGGACCGGGCAAAGTCTAGACAGATGAAGAAATCTAGCCAATTCAGTTTAAGTTCAAAAAGCAGAAAACAAATGGGGACTTTCTACGCAGACAGTCTCAGGTGACGACAGTGACCACGCCTTTGTAAGCGCATGTCTTAGTGAGGCTTGGCGATGCTACCTGATCAGGGGTAAGGAGCCCTCCCCCAGGAGAATGTTTACAACCCCGTGAGTGATGGGGGAAATCAACATCATCAAGGTAGACAAAAGGGATCAAAAGGCATGGGCAGACATATTGCTATATATAGCTGTCGCAGAAGGTGGTTCATTTTTGATGGCTGTAGCTAGCCAAGAATCAGACTCATCAAGGGTTTCAAAACGGTACACTTAAATGAAGCGATTACGATAAACACGGAGCGTGTCGGAAAGTATATGCGCCACACGAGGTAGTAGCTTCACATCCAAGGAAGCGAGTTGTGGCGGTTTACGACGAGATCTGCGCTGACTACTGAGCAGTACTTGAAACCGCCACGCTCCCTAAGCGCTCCACCCACTAGTTTAGTTGGTGATTTGGACGAGCTGTGTTGCCAGCAGCGGCACAACTGGAGCACCATGACTTGAGCATGTATTGGCATGGTGCCACCAAACGCGTTGCGGTAAACTCGTCCATATGTCCGTTGTCTGAGCCGTTGCCCTTCTATGGCGAAACCAAACTAGGTGCACTCAAATAGAAACATGAATAGATCCAAGACTTGAAGAAGATCTCAACCAGAAAACACCAAACGAATGATGGCTGTGAACAAGTCCCACAGCTTTTGCGTTTTCTTGACGAATTTCTCTGCTTTTTCGCCACTGGTGTACCATCGAGACCCCCACGTCCCGTCCAAACCCCATGCAGAACCTATCGTAATCGCTGCCTTTGAAATAAAAGCAAATATTTTTTGAACATTATTTCTCAGACGGAGCCTTAAAAAAAGGAAGAGCCGCGCGGGCAATGTTCGTTTTATCTGTAATTCCTTCCCGCTCCTAAGCTTGGTCCTAAGGGATGCTCCCATCTTCCTGCTAGAGGGCCGAAAATCCCTTCAGTTCATTTTCATTTTCTAACCAGTATTGCCCGTCCTAATAAAGGACGTATATGAAAGGCATTTTAATATGTGGACAAAGGTAAAAATGAGCTCAAAGGAACTGTTAAAAAAAGAACAAAGTTTGAGATATTATTCCCTTCCTTCTTGAGGCAGGTGGTACATAGCCCAAAGAATGAGGGTAAACCCAAAAAAAATCGTGGCATTCAGAAACATTTCGATTTCCTGAAAACTTCCGGAAGCCAAAAAACAAGAAGTTTGTGAACGAATCGAATTTATGACCTTTACGTTTTAGAGTAGCACGATTACCATTTATTACCTTACAAGTACATTTACAATCCACAGGCAATAATCAGCTCATTTCTTTAAACGAAAACATTCGCGAACATAGACAATCGATAGCAAAATAGACTGATTGAGCAAATCAAGTTATTATTAATTAGAACATTAAATAAAACATTTGTTTCTTTGTGTGTGAAGCGAATTTTCATACAAAATCTTACTAAATAGTTAGATCCTTGAGAGTTACGAAAGCTCGCCTGCGAACTATTCAGCTAGGCCAAACGACGATTTATCGCGCTTTAGCATATCTCAAACATCAAACAATGCTATTCAAAATGAAAATATTCAGAAAAATTACAATCGATCAAAATCCCAGAGAGATCAGATGAGCTCGTATTAAACCGGTGACTAAACAAGGTCGATTCACTTGGCTCGACTGCTGCCAAGAATTCGCTGATTTCTGTTCACATGACAGAAATTCAGTGAGAAAGTGAAAAAAGAAGTCATGACCTTGTATACCATGTCATCTACCAAACCTGACCCCGGACAGAGATTCACGAAAAGCCCGGAAGAGCCGGCAAAAGCAACTTCATTCACAGCCTCTCGTTGTAAATCTCAGTTCGGGTTCAGTCTGAGGAAAAAAATAAGGTCTACTCCAAGAAGAGGGGGCATTTTGGTGCAAAGCACTCAACAGTTCCTATACCGCTACCACGATATTCTCTCACATAACGGTTTACACACTGACGACAGCATGAGGCGCATGCGCGTCAAATGTCACGCGGATGAGACCCGCTTTGCTCCATTTATCTGGTATTTTTCACGCTCTCAAACCGTGCCCTTACATTATCGGATCCAGAAACAGTACAGTTATTACCAGTAACGGAATAATTGAAGGGGGAACTGTTGATCACGAAAAATAATGGGAAAAGATGCCAAGACACGCGCACAATGGTCCGTCGTCAATGCGTACAAAGACTGCTGATACCCACCCAGTCCTCTTTTTGCACAATCAAAGTGGTTTTCCTATGCCAAAGTTTCCTTCTTCTGCAAAATTGGGCTCACTGAAGTCCACACGAAGTAGTGCACCAAAATACCTCCTTTTACGGAAAATGACCCAAAAACTATTCTAAACTGCTAAGCCCTGTTTCGGTGGTGT